ATGGAAACGAATCAGAGTTAATTGTTAAACCTAATAGCTGGTGATAGTTCCACCCTGCAGGTGGGTAGGAGGGGGGCTGAGTGCTAGCAATGATCCTCCTCGGAGAGGGGTGGAGCCACCCAGGTTTTTCTGACCTGTACCTGCCACCTTTTCCCCACTCTGGAATGCACCTCCAGGTCCTCCACCTCTCTCCCCAGGAGGCAGGCTGCCTCTTGGACCCTTGCCCTTGACTCCAACTGAAGTGACCCTGGGAGGTGAGTACTGGCTCTAGCCCTAGTCCAAGGGCCTCTGGGTGAATGCCCTTGGGGTGCTGCACGGAAGGGCAAGGCATCACCCAGTGGGCTGGCAACCAGTGGACCTTTCTGGCTTTACCTCCTGCTGGGTAGTTGTAGGAGTAGGGTGGAGATGGGCCCTGTACGCAGACCTTGGGTTTCCTGTTCTGGGCCATACTGTGCCACTAGAGAGGGAGGAGGGTCCCTAAAGATAGTGGCAAATTCTTTCTTCTACTAGAAGACTAAACTTCAGACATGGCCTCTGCTAAGAATTAGGGACAGATCAGGTATCCAAGTCTGGGTGGTTCAGTGTTAAAGCTGGGTGGCTTTGGGCAGGTGACCTACCTCTCTGAATCACTGTGTCATCCTCTGAGCAATGGATACTGGGATCCCTTTACTACCCTCTCTGTGAATATAATGGGTACCAGAGCTAGATAATAATGTTGAACTGTAGAGGTTTGTGAAGCGAGTAGATAACATTATTTTGAAATTCAATGTTATCTTGGAAGGCCTAACTCTGACTTAAGGCCAAGTCCTCCTTGCCCCGCACACAGGAGCCACTAGCCACATTGAGTCCTAGGACAAGTTAGGGATAGTTAGGCAGCTTCAGAGACAGTGTAGGGAGGGACCTCAGGAGAGTTAAGGGAGGCTCCAGGAAATTATGGTATCAACATGAGACTATTGACCCTTGTGGCTTAGTGGCTAGTGCCACTAAGGAACTGTATTTTAAATTGCATTTGATATGAATAAACTTAAAAAGAATTTTCTGTCGGGTTATTGAAAAGCTTCTACCAGTGTTGGGAACTTAGATTCATGAATATATGTTTTCAGTTGTAAATGCTAAGAAAATCTAAATACCAGATAAAAATTTTGAGTTGGAGTTGAAATGTGTTTGAAGTGTAAGTTACACATCAGATTTAGAAGATTTAGTATGAACCAAAAGAATGTAAAATACCTCAGTAATATTTTTATAGTGATTACATGTTGTGATGGTTAAATAAATATACTATCGACATTAGTTTCTCTTCTGTACTTTTTAAAATGCAACTATTGGAAAAAGTTTAATTATATGTGTGGTTTGCATTATATTCTCATTGGACAGCAAAATTTATTTATGCATACAAGAGCTGGGGTCTAGGCCAGAGGTGCTGGGACAGGGGTTGGCGGTGTGAGAAGATTCACCAGAGACAGAGTATGGAACAAATAGACAGATCCACTGAAATGCTTTGCTGAGGGGAGCAGCAGGAGAGGTTGCTGCACCAGGTAGTTCACCCCACCCCAGCCAGGGATTGAACTCATTATGCTGAAGTGACTACAGCTAGCTTCTAGCGTTGCACTTCAACTCACTGTGTCACCAGGCCGGCCCAAGAGTGCTATTTTAGCCTAAGTGTTGAGTTGGACACATTCAAATAATAACATGAGACTATAAAGACTGTATTTGGGGTGTGAAGGTCAGATATAGCCCGTTCACAACCCCCTTAGACCCACCACCCATGATGGAATATTACCCTGGACTACCCTATAATCTCAAGAAGATCAGGATTGAGGTGAGATGAAGAGCCTACATCTGGATGGCCACGCCATTTCACTTGTTCTGTGTGGCAAGTCACTTTGCTTTGCTAATCTTAGTCTATCATCTGTAAATCCAGACTAATGGGATTTACCTCATTGGTGGAAGCAGGTTTTTGTGGTGGCTGCTGCTACTGTTAGTTGCTACTGCTGTTGCTTCTGTCAGCTTGGATGCAGTTACTCCACTTGTCTGAATGGAACATGGGCCAGAGGGAAAGAAGTTAAAGGAATTTGAGGGTGGAAGTCAGAATGGGGGCTGAGGCATTGCTCTGTGCAATGCCTCCAGGTTTTGCTTCCCTCCTTGAGAGCTTCTTGGCTCTTCCAGTTTTGTGGGTGATCAGGCAGGGACATGTGCCCCTTTTACACATGAGGAAACAGAGGCAAGGAAGTGACTGGCCAGAACCGAAATATAGGACTGAACTTCCCACCCCTATTTTGATAATGTTCCAGCCATCTTTGGGCTTGGAGGAGCAAGGCTTTTACCAGGAGTGTGGAGCTTGTGAAGGACGGCTAGTATTAATCTGTGACTGGAAGGGACTTCGACACCAATCTGAAAACCCATCTCATTTTGAGTTGAAGAAACAGACCTGAGTGAGTGTGTGTGCACATGTGTGTGTGATCTGCTTAGGATCATACATCAAGTTGGTGGCCAAGTGGGAACTATTTCTGTTTATTTAGATCCAGGCCTCAGCCCAGCCCCAGCTTCGATGGATGGCCCTGCTTGTCAGCTACCCTCCTCCGGCCCAGTCTCCAGAGAGGGCTTCTGAGAAAGAGGCTTTTGTTTTACCAGCTCCTTCTGGTTTCCTTTCGAGGTAGTTTCATCCCCCTCCCCCTCCATCTGCTCATATTTGCATTTGTCCGGGTTCCAGGTTTAAAGGGCCCTGAAATCTGAAGCTCCTCTCCCCACTCTACTTTCTGCTTATCCTCCGAGGGGAGACCCTAGGCTTTTTCATCAAGCTGGTCTGGGTTCAAATTCCTCTTCTGCTGTTAGAAACTACAGATTGCAAGGCCCTTTTTCTCTGTGACCTGGGTGAAGTCACTTGTAATGTTTTAGTCTCTGCCTCCTCCTGGGTAAGTCACTTGTAATGTTTTAGTCTCTGCCTCCTCACCCAAAAAGCAGGAACCAAAATGTTGTAATATATACCCTGGCCATGAGGAATTTAGGCTCTGGGTCTCAGATGATTCCCTGAAGTGTTCTTCAGTGAGTCACTCACTTTTTAGGTCTCAGCTTCTATGGCTGTCAGTGAATGCTGCTTCCTCTGAGATGGTTATGATAAGGCCTGGGCTAACCTCTCCACCTGCATAATTTCATTTACTCCTCCCATTAGCTCTGAAAGCTATTGGGAAATCCTCCTATTTTCCAAATGAGGAAATTGAGGCAAAGAGAAATAAAGTAATTTTCCCTAGGCCACATAATTAGAGTGAGGAAGGCAGAATTCAAACCAGTTCTTTGTTACTGCAGAGCCCAGGCTCATAACCATTGTACCACATGGATGCTCGCCACCTGACCTCCACGTGAGTCTGGAGAGCTTGGCTCAGCACTAGAAAAGCTTCCTGGATCTGCAGTGTCCTGGGCACCAGAGCTGGGACAGAGAAGGTGCTTAGGCGCACAGCTTCTGCTCCTGCTGCTCCAAGTGAATGTCCCATATGCCTGTTCTTGTGTTCTGTGTGAAGTGGAAACACCTCTCCCCAGCTGGAGATCCAAAGTTCTGAGTGTGAGTTCAAGGGATCTGAGGCTTCTCTCTCTAACAGTGCTGTACCATATTGTGTGTTTGAGGCTGGGCTTGCAGATGAGGTTTACAGGTGATTGAAAAGAGGCTTGAATATTCTGTGAATGATTTATTCCAGAAGAGAATATTAATTAAAAAAACAAAGCAAACAAACAAACAAAAAAAACAGCCTTCGGGCCCTCCCTGGTGGCACAGTTAAAGCACAGCACTAAGAAGCTAAAGCCATTTCAGCATGAGTTCGATCCCAGCCCACCCTGAAGGTGAGCCACATGGCACAGCAGACCTCTCCTGATCTACCCGCTGTTCTCCTCAGCAATGTACTTCATTGATCTGCCTGTTCTACTACCCACTCTGTCTCTGGTCAATCCTCTCACTGCCCCTGCACCTCTGACCTGTACCGGAGTTTTGTATGCATAAATAAATAAATCTTTACAAAAAAATATTTAAACAACACAAAAAGCTTATAAAGCAGATAATTATAGTATTAAAAAAAACAGCCTGGGATCACTGAGTTCAGCTGTATTTATCTCACAAATAGGGAGACTGAGCCAAGAATAGGCCAGGTTGGGGGAATAGGCATGTTCTTTTATGGGTACTGGAGACCATGGGACAGACATAGCAAGAACCACCTCAGGGTAGGTAAGTAGACCCCTGCTCTCCCTCACTCCCCAAAATCTAGTTCATCCCAACTTGTGTTCATACCACTTCTTAAAGATCTCTTAAATTCATCCATTTCATTTCATTCTGGTTTTATAGCTACTATTCCAGTCTCCACCCTTATTTTTTTTTAAAGATTTATTTATGCATACAAGAACTGGGGTTTAGGCCAGAGGTCCAGGGCAGGGGGGGTGTTGGGGGAGGTGAGAGGATTCACTAGAGACAGAGTAGGGAGCAGAGCAGACAGATCTACTGGTATATACTGCTGAGGGGAGCGACAGGCGAGACAGGAGAGGTCTGCCACACTATGTGGGTCAGCTCCCTGGCTGGGGATCACACTCATGCTGCAGTGGTTAGCAGTAGCTGATCGCACTGACTCTTTAACTCCTCCACCACCAAGGAGGTTCATTCACCCTTGCTATATGCCCCCTGGGAAGCCCCAGTAGCCTCCTAAACCACACACCAAAAGCCACTTTGGCCTCTTTCTAGTTCATTCTCCACCCTACAAATCAATGATTTCCCATTGTTCTTCAAATCCACCCCAAACTCCCTACCTTGGCCTCACAGGCCCTTCTTGACTGGCCCCTACTGACCACTTGACATTTGTTACTTTTCCTTTTGCTTCCTGCATAGTCACAAGGGCCTTTCGGTTTAACAGGTTTAGCCACTTCCCCAAGGTTCCTCAGAATCAGATGCCAGCTTCTCAATTTCCAGCTCCATGCTGGGTCCATGAACTCAGTTTCAAGGAGTTAACACTGTTTCCTCCTTCTAGGTACCTGACTGACGTCCTTATCTCCAGGGAGCTGGTGTCAACAAAGGAGGGGTGAGTGTTACAAAGACAGTCAAATTCTCTTTCTGCTCAAGTTGGACAGTTTGGGCTTCAGGATCTCACTACTGATATATTTTACTGCTGTGAGCCGAGGGTAGAGGTTTTTGTCAGGGTCACAGATTTCTGATGAGCTTGAAAAAGGAGGGTATCACTGAAGTGTGGTTTATTTTGAAGTGGGGACTGAAATGTATCATTGTTGGGTTCCTTGGTGTTTGACAATCTGCTCTGCCTGTATTGCTGATCGATGCCACCCTGGCTGGTGACAGAAAATGGCCTTGGACTTGGAAGCCGAGCCACTGACCCTGTGGTTCTCGCTTCATATCTCCCAGGTTGTAGGCTAGATTCAGGCAACTACAGCGTTTTCATTCTGGCACCACCACTGATTACTAAGTGACTTTGGGTTGCTCTCTGCCTTTCTGTTGACCTCAGGGTCAGTGTATACACTGTCAGGGGCAGGAGGTAGGTAAAGCAGGTTCAGAACATATTAGTTGTTTTCAAACTTTCCAGAAGGGAAATCACCTTTTCCACTGATCCTAGAAGAACCTTAGTGTGCAAAATAGCTAAAAGGGCTGCAACTGTGCTTGAAGTTGGGCTGGCTTGGAGGGCTTTTCTGGCTAGTTCCCAGCATACAGAAAATGACCCAGAACCCCTTCTTGGTTTTGTGCAAGGACCTATAAATCACTGGTCCAGGGCATGTCGAAACTCCTTTTCGATTCAGAGGTAAAGGCATAGAGTGGGAATTCAGCCAACTAGGAAATTATGAAGTAATATGCAAATGTAACTGGGGTTATTAGTAAGACACAACTGTCAAATTGTGATGTTGTTATTCTAGAATCCTCTGGTTTAAAGTTTGGATTATATAGGAGGGACCTCTGTATCTGTAGGATAAACTCCTTTGCGCATGCGCTGTGTGTGTGTGTGTGTTTTTATGTGTACACATGTAGAATGAGACAGAGAGAGGGAGAGAGGAAGAGAGGGAAAGAGAAAGTGACACATGCGTGTAGGGCTATGGAGTGGGCCGGAGCCAATGTTAGGCAGGTAGAATAAATGACAAACAGAGCCAGGAGTGTGTTACTCCTGCGGATGGTGGGAGGTGACTTTAGCTTTAGTTAAAAGGAGTGATTTGGCTCCTTCCTGCCAGTGCATGGGCCCCATGGAGATCTCTGAGCAGGAAGCACTAGGAACAAGGAATCCTCTGTCCACAGCTACAGCACAGTCAGGACAGAGGAGGTGGATTAGGAGTTCCTAGGAGGGGGACTGCCCGGTCTTTCCCTGACATTTGGGTAAATGGGTGGGGAGAGAGGGAAGCTAAGTTATGTGTGCATGGGTAGGGGTGGGAAGGCATGATTAGGGGAGGTCGAGGTTAGTTCTAACATTTGTAACCCAAATTCTTTAAACTGGAAGCCCTCCAAGGATCCCAGCTCAGAAGTAAGCAATTCCTTAGGGGTCAGAGCTGAGTAAGAGGAGACTGTAGATCATCAATATACAGAGGAGGCAGGAAATGAGGGTGGTCATAGATTCTCATGGGCAGCCTGACTCAGTGGAAGTCATTTGGCTTGCAAATCCATTCAAATCCTCGCATGGATGCTGACTTGTTCTGTGGCCTTCACCTTGTCACATTCTTCCTGGATCTCAGATTTGCCTTTTGTAGAATGAGGATGGACACATCAGCCCTGGCTGCTTGTGTTCTTCTTCATGTCAGTTAGAACAGGCTATTTCAGATCTCCTGAGGCAGCAGAATCCCAATATGTAAGCATTTCTAGCAGATCTGCTTTTAGATTGGCTGCAGTTCATGAAGAATCTTGCTGTCTTCTAAGCTGCCCTTCGTCCAGTGGATATTTCTGGAGCTAACTGCACATTCCAGAGTTCCAGGGAGCACTGTGTGCAGACCATTGGGTCAAGACGGGTCTTGAGAATACCCTCTGTAGACTGTCCCTTGGAGCCCAGCAATGGGGATTGTGCTGGGATGATCAGGGACAGCCCTGCCTGTGTCAACACAGATGTTGTCTTAGGACCTGAAAGATATAATAATACTATCATGTAACACAAAGGGGAAGCTATTGCCTTTCTCAGGACCATGAGCTGCTCATCCAGGGCATGGCTTTTTCAGCAACAAGTGGCAAAAATTCAACTCAAACTGGCTGAAACCAGAAAAAGACTTTAATGGATCCTAGCATACTTTATGGAATGGAAGGATGAGGAATCAGATTAACTTTCCATCTCTCTCCTATCACTGCCTGTATTTTGTCTTTGCCCTTGTTGAGAACTGGCTGTCCACTGTCCCAGCTTAGCAACCCAAACAGAAAGAGGGAGTGATTTTTCTTCTAGGATCAATAGCGCAATCCAAAATAAGGACTCTGGTTGGTTCAATCAGACTAGGCCTGGGTCATATGCCCATTCATGGGACTAAGGAGGAGCAGGGCCATCACAAGAAGAAGGAGTATAGGGGCAGCTGGACAGACAGAATCATGAGAGTACCACTAGCATGTTAGTGGAGACTTGGATTATGGTGGATGAGCAGCTCATGGTCCTGAGAAGGGCAATAGCTTCCCTTTTATGTTACATGATAGTATTATTATATTATGCATGTTACATATTTTATATATCCCCTTTTATATATGTTTGCATATGTGTGTGTGTGTGTGTACACACATATATATAATTGTCCTGGTAGTGAAGACACAGATACAAACAATGATAATTAATAGGTTATGTTTATTGCATTACTTTCCCTGCATTGAACATATGTTATTTCATTGAAGCCTCATGACAATCCTTTGGGTAGATACGATTACTATCTCTAGTTAATAGATGGGGAAACCAAGGCTAAGTGGCAGTCACACACTGAATAGGAAGAGGAGCTGGGGTCCAGTCCAGGGAGTCTGGCTTCAGAACCTACACTATTCTCTATGCCTGCTTTCTCTGGTCAGTAGTTCAAGTGGCCATCCTGCTTCTATTGGCCTGCTGGTCTGTAACATAGCGCTCACCACTCACAGAGGCAGTGCAGACCTGGGTTACATTGCTCTACCTGTTGGAAATGACGTCCTTATGTTGCATGCGGATCTGTCTCCCATTAAATTCATCTGCCAGTATGTGACTCTGGGGTTGGTGTTTCAGGAAATGTAAAGAAAAAGTACTCATGAACCTGCCTGAGAATTCTCTATAACAAATGCATTGAGTTACTGAGCTCTCACTGTGTGCCAGGCTCCATGCTGTGCATTATCTCATTTAATTGCAACAACTTGTAGAGTAGGTACCTGGCTGCCAGAGGAAACCAAGGCCCAGAGAGGGTAAATGACTTACCCAGGGCTAGATGGCTGATAAATGGCAAAGCTCGTGCTTGAGTTCAGATCTGCTTGTTTCTGGATCCTGTACTAGTAACCACTGCAATCACCTGTGTGGGCAAATAAACATGTGGGTATGGCTGAGACATAGTCAGTGGTGCAAATTGCCACAGTATAGGGTCAGGGACAGGGAAAGAGCAATGGATGATCAGAGGAGGGAGCTCAGGGAAAGGGGAACAGGTTGGGGCATAATAGTCAGAATGTCCTTTCTGGAGGAAGAGACATTTGATAGAGGCTGACGCTGGATTTGGACATTCCATTCAGAAAACCTCTCCAGGAGGAGGGAACTACCTGAGAAAAGGCACAGAAGGGAGTAATTTGTCCAGAACGGAAGAGCTAGGTTGGGGCAGGGGCAGGGTGGCTAGCTCTCTTGTAGACTTCACCAAAGCAGCCCCTCTTTCCATCCTATTCTCTTAAAAGATTTAAAGTGGCACACAGGTGCCCACTTCCTTCCATTTTCTGCCCAGATGGGCAGATGGCTGACTAGTGGACAAGGATACTCGGACACCAACAAGCCTCAGTTCTTCACTCACCTCCTCCTAATGGAGAGAAAACTGCTCCCCTCTTCACTCATGTCCTCCTGATGGAGAGATAACTGCTCCCCTGTGGTCCACTGCCCTTGCTCCAGACTGCACAGTGCTCAGGGAAGCAGAATGACTTCTGGCAGCCTTGGTGAGTGACAGATGCTCCTTCCCTTTGCTAGGCAGCAGGCTGAAGAATGTCCCTAATCCATGGAGGGCCCCTTTCATTAGCCCCTTTCTCCTCCACACAAAGCTGATCTCATCCACCTTATCAGAAGATGGATGATGCCCTTGGAGTCTGGGCTCTGTCCTGAAAGTGACTTCAAATATTTCTTCAAACAGCTCAGGTGGAAAATTGGGGTAAGAGTATGATGTTGGCATCAGGTGCTTCTCTGGCTTCGAAGGATGGAGGATTAGCAGCCATATAGACTGAACTGGACTCAATGTGTGTCAGATGTTTATCACCTCATTTTACAGATGTGGAAACTGAGGTTCAAAGGAGGAAAATGACACAGGTGCACTTATCACATAAATTGTGTCTTGTTGGAAGGCTGTAAATGTGGGAGGCTGATTCTGCCTCCTTAGCAGGAATTGAGATGCCAGCTCTGGCTACTCCACTGCTCTCAGCCTGTCCCCATATGTAGACAGATCATTCTCCCCTGACCGCTGCCTGCCTGAGAGCGAGAGGCCTGTTTCTGGTGTGCCCAGTTATCACAAATGTCACCCAGCTAAGGCCCAGATATCTACATGCCTCCAGAGTCCTATTGTCTGTGAGACCCCTGAGTTTCTCCAGCCCTCACCAAGGAATTCCACTGTTTCTGTAAAGGAAAAAAAGGTGCAGAAGAGCAGGGGAACTCTTTCATTAGGGGTTTTCTTCATTTCCATGACCTTTATTACCTGGCTCACAACTTTACTCCACAGGATAAATGGAGACAATAGTTCTTATTTCAGAGGTTATGGAGCAGATGAGAAAATACAGGTAATCTGCCTGGCATGCACACAGTTAAGTGCTTAGTAATTGGTAGGGGTTACTGTGCTATTGATAACCCTAACACTGTTGTAGTGACATGGAGAGATTGGGATTCTAGGGGGCCAGCCAGGCTAGTGATGCACTGTTTCTGTTACTAGT